CAATATATCAGGGCAGAATTTAAGTTTTAGTTTCACAAATAATTCTGGGCTCATTCATTTTAACCACAATTACTGTTATTACGGTTGTAAAGTTTAAGTCTTTAAATGTTGATTTAAAAAGTGGCAGTTTTATTGCTTTTTCTGAGGTTGGTTCGTAGTGGACTGTGATAATGCACCCCATTGTTATTCACAAAAGAGGGAGTCTATCCGAAGGTTCTTGGAGAAAGGTTGCTGAGCGCCAAATTGGATTTCTGACGGAACGAGGAATCAGCTACTTGGGGATGATCCAGAGAAAGTTGAGCCGCCATCTCTTTGTGGGGCTTCTGCTGGAGTGCCATTCATATGTGTCAGATCCTCCAGAGTCATTCAGATTCAGAGGGAAGGTTCACTCTGACCAGTTTTAGGGCTCCAGCTGCTGAACAGAACAAATCTGCTCAGGGGTAATGCTATAAATATTTAATCCTTTTGCCATTTTGCTTTTTTACTTTGATTGACATGAACACCCCATAAAGAGTTAATTTCCTTAGCCCTCTCGCAGCTTTGCTACAAGCCTTAGAGGCTCGCTCTCAAAACTCATAATGTTAAGAACAAAAAGACAGGAATCCATACAGACAAAAAGATCTCCACCTCTGGCTATTTCCAGAGTCCTATCAATAATATTTGTAAAATCATTAGGCTGATTTAAAAACTAAAAAAAAAGAAAATCCTACACAATAACTACAAGGTTCATATCTTAAATAAAATTTATTGTTTATCTTCAAATCTGGCATAAAAGAAATGTAAGCAGATGTTTTAAGTATTACATTTTCTAACCTGTGTATGTAAATTAACAGTGCCCATTGGAGATGGGTGCTTGAAAGCAGAAGAATCAAGAGGGAGTCTTTATTGCCTTTACTTCCCTTAATGCATGTGAACTCAGTGCAAATTAAATTAACATAACAGGACTTCAGTTAAACAGTTTATTAGCTTTGTAAAGTGGATTTACCAAATCAATGTTAGTGCTGTAAATTATTGGATCAGCATATCCTCAACCTAAAAACCCCACAAATTTTAATTTGCTTCAAACATTAGTCTTTTTTTCTCCTGTGGAAAGCATTTTTTCTTTATTTTGTGGAAAATATTGCACCTGGTGAAATTCAGGCATGAAAGCAGAGCTGCATCCAAAATGTTTTTAGTCCTAAATGTGGACGGGTCACTTTTTTTTTTTTTTTTAACAATTGTTTTGCAGCACAAACACAAGCAAGAAAAAAAGAAAAAAAAGAACGCAGACTAGCCAGGGCCCACTGAGCTTTTTTTCCAGCCTGGTGAAAAGAATGAATAATTCAACAGTAAGCAAGCTTTCAGCTGGTCATTTGTGTGCTTTGATCTGGGAATCAGGAGTTTGCATGAATGCCTGTATTGTCATGTTGTGCTGCCACAGTGCGTGAATTATTGAAAATAGTGCAGGTCCCTGCTTTATCTGGTAAAGTTTACACGGCAGGCACACTGGATAGACACGATGGATGTGTAAATCCCTAGATGTTGTTAATGTGTAGAGTGAGGTCACTCAGCAAGGGTTATTTGGGCCTCTGCTGCAAAAGTGTTCAGTGTGAAAAGAACTTCAGGGTCAAGCAACAAACTACAGGTTGACATCACAAGCTTCTCTTTGCACCAAAATGTGAAGGTGTGGCACAGAGATGGGTATTTTAAAGTGTTAAAGAGCTCTGGTTGCTGAATAGTATGTTTTTCTTTCTATTTAGACTTACAAAGCTGGGTCTCTTACTGTATTATTCAAGAGGCTATACAATGCTATATGATAAGCCAGTTTTAGTCATTCATTTCAACTTCCGATTAATTCATATATAAACTTTTAGTTTAAAAAGGTATGATTGATAATAATTGATAACTAAATGGTGGAGCTAAAACATTAGTGATTAGTTTATTATTACATATTAAACTATAGCAAAAGCAGTTGTTAAATGATTTAATTAGTTTTCTTTTTAGCCAAAATGGTTTTTAAAAAAAATCACAAAATATTTTATCTAAGAAGTTTTTAATCAATCAGAATCAGACTACTTAATTATTCTCAGAGAAAATCACATCGTCACAGTTGCTCCGTGACAGAAAGAATGATAGCAACAAGTTAAAGAACCATATTAAATATTAAGATATGGAAATGAAATGGCAATACAAGACAACAGAACAAAACTTTTAAATTAGTTGTGTGAAGTTGTGATTTAAAAAAAAAAAAAAAAAGATCTTCTGTATCAAGCATAAATTAATTAATTTGTAAAACCAGTTAGTCATTCTTAGTCTTGTAATTCAAACTTTCCAAATGAATTAATTGTTATTATTGTTACTTAATTGTTGATGCCTTTCAAAATAAGACTTTCGCTTTGTCATTACAGATAGGTAGAAAAATATCTTTCACTAACCTTCACGATGTGGCTTTGTCTCAACTTTAAACCTCTAAGATTGACACTTGTGCGCCATCACATTTTGAAGCCTCCTGTGCGTTGCTCTTAACAAATTGGCTTCCCTCCCTAATTCGCTTAGATACGGCTGATTAGCACATCTGCAGAATGCTGCGGTCTATTGTGTCATAACAAAAGTAAGACCTTTAATTGATAATGGAAGAAAGGTAGAAAAATGTTTCATTATATTGAGGGTTCGTTGAATTTCATAGAGAACTACAGCAAATCCATGGCATTGGTTAGTTACAGCTGGACACATAATTAGAGTGCCTCCTTACCTATAATTTGTGTAATAGTTTTGGTTGGCGGCATGTTATTACCATATGAAAGGGCTAAGCAGGGGTCATGTGCATTGCGACAGCAATTAGAGCAGAGCTGAGGGCAGAAGAATGTTTGGGGCTGTTGTTAATTGGAAATCTCTACAAAGCTATGCTTCAATTATAATTTAGTCAGAGCAGCACTGTTTTAAGCCCAATGTATTCAGTTGCCATTATTTTCTGTAATAGTATGAACAGCCAGGCCTGTTTCCTTTCAAAGCATGAGGCTTTGAAGAGAATGAGATTGAATTAGATTAATTTTAAAGGCCTTGGTGCTGCCGCTGTGAGTTTTCTTTATTCATGCTAATGTCATACGATGTTGCCATAGAAAAACTGGATGGTGTTTGTTTAGGAGGTACACATACTCTTATATTTAGAGTTACAACCATAAGTTATTTTATTCTTATCTATGAATTTAGGTATACATCCATCAGATTGACATTTTCATAAATTTTTCTATTTTCAGAAGTACAATACCGTGGTTTTTAAGAGTATTAGCTGCATTTATTAAACAGTGGCACGTATTCTTCAGTTCACAACTGTGTGAAGTACAGAAATCTCCAATCCACCCCACTATAAAAAAAAAAAAAATTAATTAAAGAAAGCCCGGGGAAGTGTGTGTTTCCTAAAGAGGTAGTTTTAATTATAAACTTGTGATTTTGCTTGTGATTGATCTGAGTGTTTGGTTTTTGTCAAAACCTAAATTCAAATCTATTTTTTAATAAGCATGTTTGTGTTTGATTGTTGAAAAACTAAAATCAGAAGCAACCAAATTCTACAGATAAGTGTTCAGACTGCAGAAATTTATACTTCTTGTTGGTTTTTATCTACATTGCTCTTCATTTTCTGGTTTCTCCAGGTCGAAATGAGCTGATAGCGAGATACATCAAGCTCCGGACCGGCAAGACAAGGACGAGAAAGCAGGTTAGACGAGACGTCTCTGTTACATAAGTGTCAGAGGGCTGTCAAATCTGAATGTGTGCACACTGCTGCCTTTGTTTTAGAGGAACAAAGTATGACAGAGAATAAGGCTATGCTAACTGTCAATAAGAAGGGCTGACAAAGATCCCCTGTCTCCCTGTCACTGCTGTGTTGCAAGAAGAGATTATTACGTTTTCACACTATGCATCTAAATGTAGGCAAATATATAAATAATATATAGGTTTTCTACACTGCTTATGGGTTGTGGAAGCAGGTATTATCTGAGCTGTCACAGGAGGAGAGGCAGGAGTACACCCTGGAGGAGTTGCCAGTTTATCATAGAGACAGACAACCACACACTTTCAGATCCATAAAGTCAATTCAAGATCACCAATTAACTCACCATGCATGGCTCTGGGCTGTGGGATCAAGCTGGAATAATCAGCAGAAACCAACCACATGCAAACTCAAAATCACAACAAAAAAAGGCCCAAACGGAACTGTTTTTATGCGATTGTCTGCTAACTATTTCACCACTGTGCTTCTTATTTTTTGGTTATTGGGTTAACACATTTGCTTGACAATTGAAAATGTAGTAGTTCTGTCAAATTCCATTTGAGGTTTCATCAGAGCGTCTGTTGTAAAAACTCTGCCCTGTCAAATAAGCAGACTTAACCACTGTGGTGAGCACTTGTGCTAAAAGTAACTTAGTAGTAGTACTAGTGGCCTTATTTCTACCAATCTCTACACGATATTGAATAGTTTTAATGGTGCTTTAGTGACTCTACGAAGCCCCTGATCTTCCCTCTAAACAGGAACTTCCCTGCATGACTAGTGACTTGAATGACAGTGATAAACAAGTCAGTGTTTACAATGACATTCGATCACTGTGTGTGAATTGATCAGTCTGGACCAGAAAGGTGTGGTTTGTCTCCTGTGTCTCATCTTCTTGGCACAGAATTGGACAAAAAGAGGGTTGTTTGTGCCGAGCAATACCAATAAACACGCATGATGTTACTTTAAATATCATGTACAGCATGAAAGTAATTGATTTAGTTATTAACATGGCACCAACAGCAATATTGATCATTTTTCTCACCAGCTCCAGCTTGTTTTATTGCAACTAAATTGAATATATATGGACTAATTGATGTGAATGTAATTCTTCCATCGAAGGAACTAAAACCCCTGAAGGTTTAGCTCTTTTGCTTCAGAAATTATAAAAAATGAGGGATGACTGTGATCAACTGATTGACTAACAGTTACAGCTCCAGTTTAAGCACTAACTCATGTAAAAGATTGTGAATAATGTAAAGACTTCTCAGCTAACCAAACACTTTCCTGTTAAATCACTCCCTTGTTGGGGTACTCAGGTTGGGTTTCATTTGCATGAAAATTGCCAGAGGAGAATGTAAATCTACCTCTCAAACCTGTCATCAGCTCACATTAGGTCTCTTTCAGACGGCTACTGATGAATGTTTCATTTGAGAGTATAAAATCATTTTCAACTGTATAGACATCGTAGATAAACTTGGCCGATGAAATGCCTTTCGCAGCTCCCACAAGGATACTAGACTAGCCGATTTTCATTCAGCACACAGCAGATCACATCTGTGTGCTCTTAATGTGTGCTAAAGGGGCCTGCATCCTCCTTAATCAGTTCACTTAAGTGACGACAACACAGCATAACGCTTTATTGGCTGTTAGCTTGGTGTGTGGTTTGAAGATGCTTCTGTTATACACCTTATCTCCTTGAAGTGTTTTTAAACAAAGACATGTGTGATCCACTTTGTACTTTTTTGGGTTTTCCTGTTTTTTTATTTTCCTTTTTCTCTTTTTTTTTTTTTTAAATGGAGGTGTCTAGTCACATACAGGTCTTAGCAAGAAAGAAAGTTCGAGAAATCCAAGCTGCCATTAAGGTACGTCTGGCTTTGCCCAGTTGCAGGGGGCTTTTCATTGCCATGGTTACAGGCTCTTCCTTTGTTTTCCTCCCCTCCCCTACTCCGCAGGTGTCTAGTCACATTCAGGTTCTTGCCAGAAGGAAATCTCGTGAGTTTCAGTCCAAGCTAAAGGTATGCGCTTTTCTGCTTTTGGGCTTGTTTGGTTGCTGTGCATCTTAACTTTCTGTTTCCTGTAGAGACAGAGTGAATGCTTGATCCTCTGATTCCCCCCATAACCCAAATCCTCTGCTTTTCTGTTCAGCCCTTCTGATCTCACTTACTCACTTTCTTGACCATCTCTCACTCATTCTAACCCAAACATGCTGTCACTGTCCTGTCTGCTTGGTTTCAATGACATTAATTCTTTCATCACCAGCCTTTGCTTTGAGAGCAGCTGCACAAAATAACCGTGATCTTGTATAAATATATAAAGACATGCTTTTGTGATTTAAATTAACAAAAAATAGTCTGACATATGGATCCTACATGTTTAATCTTTTATTAGTCATGAGCCTGACCAGAACTGGATTTTTCTAGGTAATTTTGCTGAAATTGAAAAAGTTTTTAAAAATAAATAAATAAAATTAATTAAAACTACATTTCTTAGCCAGTACATACAAAGCATAAAATACACAAAGAAACACAGACTTGTCTCCAAACACTCGTAAGTACTTTACAGTTTCACTGGTGTGAAACACTAGAGTGGGACATCAACCGGATAACGAAGATTTGCCTTTAAAGTAAAGAGTTGCACCATTCTGCTGCAACCAATACATTTAAACAGGCACAACTTTTAAAATGAAGGCGAACTTTCTTCATGTCTAGTCTGCATCGCACTTGTTACAGTTTCACTACGACTTGGGGAGTAGGTGGCAAGCGTTTATAGAAAAGTTGACCATACAGCCTGCAGGTGACTGCAGCAATGCCTTCTAGCAATCAAAGCAATTACAAGGAGATTTTTGGTGCAACACTATATAGCTATTTGCAGCCAATTTGTACTAGCTGCCAGCAACTTCCATCAACCACTTGCTAGCAGTTGAGGAATATACATGTTTTCTTAGTGACTAGTGTCTAGGCCTGTGTGACTAGAGCCTAGCTTTGAGCTAAAAGCTAACAAACAAACAGTGGAAATGTTCACCGTCTGGAATTTCAAACTGGGAATTTCAAACTTGTCGCCGCATGTATAAGGTAGTCCGGGTAATCATTAACATATGTACCAAATTTGATTAAATTTGAGTGATTTTGGATGTAAATGAAAATGTGGTGAAATGAAAAAGATTCAAAATCTGCAGCGCAGTCTATAGAAAACTACATAAAATCTGTGGAAATCCATCCTGCATCAACGTTTGTAGATTGATTAATATTTTGTTCAAAGAGCCGATGTGCTACTGTGTCTTTATGTAATGACAAATTCTCTAGTAGTGCAACAACACATACTCCGTACTAGGTCATAATAACAATGGTCTGCCCTTTTTTTTTTTTTTCTTCTTTTTTTTTTGATGGGGGGCTGGTCAGGCTCAAATTTTCCTCTATTAAGGTCTAAATCAAAGTGTGTGCATGTTGGGAAGCATGCTGGCATTGGCTGTTTTGGTGAGTGGCTGGAAGCTGAAGGTGCGGGGAAATGGGTCTGCTTACATCTCTTACTAAGCAGACTTTATTTTTAAAAAAAGGCAGCATGGCAAAGGGGGCGGGAGTCCGTGTTTAAAAAATGAAGAAGAGATTACACCTCTGCTTCCTTTGACAATGTAACCCAACTTTTCCTCACCGTCAAAGACTCAGTGGTGCACATTCAGAGCAGAGAATGGCAGTGAAGCTGGCTGTTTCTGAAATCCCCCCCCCCCCTGCTTTCTTGTTCTCCCTTCAATCTGTTGATAACTCCAGGCTCTCACAATGCCATGGCTGTCAGTCGCTTTCCTTCCTCCCAGTTCAGATGTCGTCATTTCAGAACGTTCTCGTCAGTTATTTCAGAAATAGTGAAATCTGTTAAAATCGCTGAAGAAAGCTTTTCAGAATGGCACATTAAAATGGGAGAAGAGCATTGTGAAAGAAGTAATCTTGAATAATACTGACCTGTAATTTAAGGTATTTTATGAAGTAATGCTTGTATATCAAAGGACACTCCACCCATGTGCCATTTTCTTCTTTTCTTGGGGAGCCGACTATACGTTTTGACTTTCACACTTTGCTCCACTCCCAGTATTCAACACGAATTAATGACCCCTCATTA